TGGGCCATTATGGAGGTCTCCAAATGGCATAATTGGAAAGTCGTGTAAATTTTGTTTCTGCCAATAAAATACAAAAGTACAATATACTTTTTTATTTCAGATGGATCGTGTGTTCAAAACTACCAAAACCAAACTTTCTTTTCGCGAATTGCCAGGATTGCCCAGGAAGAGGTAGTTGGTCTTGGACGATTCCGATATCGAATTTGATGTTGATAATGAGGAAGAGACTTTGGAAGAAGAAATAATTGAAGAAACACAAATAGAAGAATTATTGAAAAATATTGTTGAAGATAGTTTGAACAGCCAAGTTACAGAGAATATGGAAGAAAAAACTGATAAAGAAATTACAGAAGAGCCACAGACAAGTCATGCCAAGAAAAAAGCATAGAAAAACCAACTTGGACAGACAACAATTTCATTTGTGCTGATTTTTTGGTTGATGAAAATATTTATACATCTTTCCAATATTATAAAATGTCTTGTGACAATGATATTATTCAAAATTTTGCTGAGCAGACAAACTTGTATTCTGTGCAAAAAGACAGTAAAAATATTGATACGAATGGAGCAATGGAATTAGTGGGGAAATTCACTGAAGGGAATCAGGAAAAGTACTGAAGTTTATCAGAAATCTGCCAAACTACATAAATTTCAAGATTTTCACGGATTATTGGGTCACATCTTATAATCTACTTATTAGTCTGAAAGAACGGGGCTTCCTTACTGCAGGGATTGTAGGAAGTGGGCAGCTGGCAAGTTGTCTTTTTTAAGAAGACAAAGTTCTAATGGCAAAAGGTCGTAGATCCTCTGATATAAAAATAGACAGCAAAAAAATATTACTGCTCGTAAATGGTACGACAATAAGTCCGTCATATTAGCATCAGACTATAAGTATAGGAGAATATCCTCTTGATAGAAGGGCCAGCAATTGCCAAAGAAAATAATATTTCGATGTGGGGTGTGGATTTGCATGACATGCTTGTGGAATTATATAGAATCAAAATCAAACCAAAAAGATTCTGTTTGAGAATAATATTTTATCTTATTGATACATGTATTGTCAACTCCTGCTTGCTGTACCGAAGACACTGCAGACAAAAACAATTGAAACACATCACCCTTCTCCAATTCAAATCTCAAGTTGGACATGCGTTACTGAAAGCTGAAAAGTCCGACACGAGAAAACGAGGACGTCTTTTTCCAGAGAATACACCAAATAAGAGACAAGTAATGCATCCTGCAAGATGTTCGATTTGATGGCGTAGGACACTGGAATAAATATTAGTCTAGAATAAATATTATAGTATTCATCATTCAATCTTCGCTTATCCACTACTGGACATAGATCTCCCTTATAATTTTCCATCTATTTCGATCTTGTGTCTCTTGCCTCCAATTTCTATGACAACGTTTTAGATCGTCAGTCCAACGTGTCGGTGGACGACCTTGTCATTCGAGCCACGTCACCTGCCCAGTTCCATTTCAGTGTTGCTACTCTCTCTACTGCATCAGCCACTCCTGTTCTTTGTCGTGCTGGCGATTTTTGATCTTGTCTCGTAGTGAAACGCCCAACATAGCCCGCTCCATCTCCCGTTGACACACAAGGATCTTTTGAACTGTTCTCCTTGTCATTATCAACGTTTCCGCACCGTAAGTCAACACTGGCAAAACACACTGATTAAAAGTTTTTTGGCCATGGGGACAAAGGGGTTGTCATGCCGCTGGACGAGCAATACAGTCTGTAGTCAACACTCCGAGGTATGAGCGGGAACACAAAGTGAATTAATACTCATACGCTTATGAAACGCACCTGGCGGATCATAAGGGCCTTCACATTTTACTCTTTTTCAACTTGTCTTGAGTGAAATGTCTTTAATCGTTCCTATCAGCCTCTCTTGGCTAACTTTTGTTTCTTCCGACCCCGAATGGCGATTAGGTTTCCGAACGCAGACGGGTCACTATATTTCCTTCTACTACAACTCTAAAACTCGCCAACACGCTGGGCTAGCGCGGCGTTTCAAGGCCAAATTTCCCCTCATGATGGATACATTATAGTATTATCTAGAATAAAATGTTCTAAGTGCAATGTTGCACTTAGAACTGACTGCTCGTCTTCGAAAGGAAGATACTAAGAAGAATAATGGGCGCAATCTGTGAGAATGATATTTGGAGAAGGCGATATAATTTCGAATTGTACGAGAAGTATAAAAAAATAGTAAATGGTAGAGATGTAATATCCTTCATAAAAATAGGTAGGCTTAGATGGGCTGGACATGTGTCAAGAGCAAATGAAAATAATCCACCCAGACGAACTCTATTATCGGTCCCAGTGGGAAATAGGAGTAGAGGCAGACCACGACTGAGATGGAGGGACGGTGTGGACGAGGACGCAAGGAAGATCGGCGCGGCAAATTGGCAACGGTTGGCGATGAACAGAAACGACTGGCGAAATAGACTTTGGAAGGTCAAGGCTCAACTAGAGATGTAGCACCACTGATGATGATGATGAAGTGCAATGTTTTTTATGTTTAAACAATAATAAAAATTGTTTTTATAGTTTCCATGTACAAAATTAAATTGTAAATAGTATAAGGGCAATAATAAACGTATTTCTTATTATAGTCAATTTTTTACCAGACCACTACTATTTAAAATATTTGTAAAATTAAATGAAAGGACATTTATATACCCTGCATATTCTTAACAGAAAGTAATCAAATGTTCCTTTTTGTATTTTTCAGTAAATTTCAAAAATTCAACTTTTGTGACAACGAAAATTGTCACCGGTCCCAGGGACTACCATATATAAGTATACAAATATACTCATCCTGTATCTACAAATCGTAAATTTTAATGCTGAAACCGTCATCAGTTTTTCTGTATCTGCTACAGTTTTATCAGTAAGATAGATCGCACTAAAGCATCGAAATCGTTATAAGATCCAACATTTTTTCTGAATATACAGTGTGGCCCATTTAAATTAGAAACACCTTTATAAAATTTGAAGGTGTTTTCCGATTTTAACAATTTTTTTTCTTTATCTATCATGCAATAAAACTTCAATTACGGGATATAATTTAAAATGATTATTGAAATTTCCGAGGCATACTATGATATTTTTCTTAGTTAGATCTAGACACTCCTAATACTTATTTGATTTAGAGTGACTTGAAATAACTATGACAAAAAATCAATAAAATATATTTATTAATATCGAAGTTACGACAATTTAAAAACCAACTAAGTTATGTGTCAAAAAGACAATCTTGTATCAAGTGACTGTCATACAAACATAATTTTAGATTCAATCCTACAGTATTGTGCGAATTAATGTGAACAGAAAGTTGGCACACCTGCTGTGCCTATTTTGTAAAAAAAAACAACATAACCTCAAAACCTTATTAGTATATTGTTCAAAACACGTGCTTTGTGTTTTATACCATTATTATATTTTGTTGTATCTCAGGTTATGTGCAAGTTGGTGTTATTTTAATTGATTTAACTGTGCAGTCAGGTTTAACTTTTTAATATGGATATCACTCCTAGGAATAGAGAAAGGACCATAACACTTAGTGAGCATACACCGATGAGGGACATTGCAAAGGAGTGTTGTGTAAGTTTGGGTGCAGTAAACAAAAATAATTAAACAAAAAAGAAACAGGGTCAGTTGAAGTGCAGTGGAAAGGAAAATGTGAAACCTTTCTTTTGTGGGATAGCAAACTTCATCTTAAAGAAACAAGTTATGACCTCCAGCAAGATTTAGAAAAGGCTGGAATAAAAATTCACGACTCAACGGTAGGCAGACGTCTCTTAGAAGGAGGCAGAAGAAACAACTTCTGAGAGCCCTATGATGAAAAAAGACTAAATTGGACAAAAAAATACGCCCTTTGGAGTGCAGAAGGTTGGAGAGAAGTGTTATTTTCTGATGGGACCCACTTCCTAGCGCAGGACTAGCGATCAAAATTCGTACGAAAGGCAGCCAATGAGTCACTTTCAGCTAGCCATATTAACCAGTTAAACATCCCTCAAAAAAAAAAAAAAATGATCTGGGGCTGTTTTCCATACTCAGGAACTGGCACTCTTATTCCTATTGAAGGTATGATGAACAGTGAAAAGTACAAAGCCATGCTAGGGCAACGCTAAGCTATAGAGCTTGGAGAAGAGACTGCAATTTTTCAACAAGATTCAGTTCCGTTCCATGTATCGAAGGTTATGATGAAATACTTTAAGGATAATAATATTACTCTTTTTGATTGGCCTGGGAATTCACCTGACCTTAATCCTATTGAAAATTTGTGGGCAATATGTAAGGCTAAACGGCAAAAATTTGACTGTCCGACAAAAACAAAATTGCTGGAAGCAGTGATTAAGATGTGGTTTAGAGATGAAGCAATCACAAACAATTGCAAAAAACTTGTGGATTCCATGCCTAGAAGACTCCAGGAAGTCATTAAAGTAAAAGGGGGACATATTAAATACTAATTAATGAAAAAATCTCATGTAAGTGTACCTAAATTTACCTTTGGCCTAAATAAATCATATTTACAAATTAATTATGTTTGTTCACATTAATTCGCACATGACTGTACTTGCTTTTAGCAATCCACCATATAATTGGATATATCTGTGTTAGCGCTAACCAATATTTCTTAGTTGTTAAGGAATACTTAATTTCTGTAAACCACTGTTAAATTCTTGCAAGAAGTTCGCCTAGATCTCTTCGGGTGGGTTTGGTAAACTTTTTGATTGAAAACTCCCCAAGAAAGAAGTCTAAAATTGTGAGATCTGGGTAGTCAATCTGTCAAAGGATATCCAATGGTTTTAAAAAATTTTCATTTAGCCATTGCTTCTCAGTTCGGCCGTAATGAACAGAACATACATCTAACTGCATACACAATGGTAATTAGTATTGTTCTGAAGCTATTTTATTGTGGCATCTTAATGCAATATACTATTTTTGTTGTAAATAAGCCACAATTTATGTTTAAAATTTTATTTTTGACAAAAAAAATTTGTTTTTTGTTTTTTGGTGGAAAAATTCTTATAATAATTTAATTTTATCTGACTCATTGATATTGACAATTCAGACATATATTATACAAAAGTAGACGTCTTTAAAATGATATTCTGATGTTGGGCCAACTGATATGGGACGGGGTTCGTATCTAGGGTGTTTCTGATTTGATTTGAGGTGATTCCGAAAATTGGATATTTTTAATGGTTTAGACCAAATTATTCTGAAACATATCAGTCTTTTGTTCATTAATTTATAGTTTACCTGGCAATATATTTTAGTATTTAAGTTACCTTTCCCGAGACCTGACGATGCACAGCAAATTTTAGTGTGCGAAACCAGTCGTCCAAGGTACAATAAACTGATTGTAAGTATAATATTTACTTCTTTTGGCCTAATTAAAATTCAACTTCCAGAAATATTTGTAAGGTCCGTCTTTTTGTACAGATCTTGACTAAACGTAGTAATGGAGTGAAATAATAAAGATAGTTGCAATTTAGTTAAACAGCGTATTCAACAAAAAAGGTTTATTAAAATTAAGAAAATCATACGACGAAATAGGTTTTCATTATTCTTCTAAAATTGGCACAACTGCTTCAAACTTGTGTATCTTTTAAAACTGTTAATCTATCGTACAATAAATATTTTATAATTCTACAAAAACGTTGTCTTTGTTATTTATTAATTCACAAATGTTTTCATTAAAAAGGAAAATTTGAGTACAACAACCGAATTTCCACTGAACACAATAAAATTAAGTTAAGTTAAGTGACTTGTTCAGAAAATAAAACTAAATATGAGCATCTTGTATAGAAATCAGTTCACATGCATATACTCCTAAATTACGTTGTTTTTTTTGCAATTTTTTGTTTACTAATTACAACAGGACTTATTCGTACTGGTTGGTCTTATGTCTACTGTCACCCTGTCCACCGGATCGTCTCGTCCGGCCGTTTTCACCAGTATAGCTTCTGCCAGTTCACTGAAAGCTCGTTCTATGTTTATGTTGGCCTTGGCGGATGTTTCCATGAATCTGATGTTGTGTTCACGAGCGATCTAAATCACAAAAAATGGTTGTAAAAATAAAGTTCGGCTATTCCTTTATGAAAATAAAATACAAACACAGGTAAAGAATAAAAAACAAAATAATATATATATATATATATATATATATATATATATATATATATATATATATATACATATACATATATATTGTTATGATATGTAAAATCGAGAAAAATATTGGTTTGATTAAAATATTTCAAAGTTCAAAAACATTAAAATAATTCAGATAAGTAGGATAATAACCAACAAACATTTCGAAGAAGGAAAGTTTTTAAATTTTTGGATTACCTGTATTAAACAAAATGTAAGCTATGCATAAATTCTTTCTTTGTTATACTTGAGTGACCCGCATAATTTTAAGTGAAATCCAAAGACAATTGAACCGGGTTTTCCAAATACATTAATGCAGTGATTAAAGACAATAGAATAGATTTTAGAAAGAGGTTTTTGTTAGTTTTTAAGAATTGTAGAAAAATATTATTTGTAAATAAGTTTTAGGAAATTTTATAATTATAGGTAAAAAGTTGTTTGTTATCGAAATGAAAAAATGGGGGAATTGTGACGAGCTTTGATTGGCGGAGATTGAAAAAGGTGGGATAGGTATGTAGGAATGAAAGTTTAGCTAGATTTTGGAGAGAAAAAAGATAATCAGTTGGTTTCCAAGGGTGCAAGGCGAACGGCCGATGTTCTCGGGTAGTTTCCCAGAGGTAGGAAGCAGTAGCAGTGGAAGTTTGTGAGTTTTCGTGTAGTTAGTGTATCTGACAGAAGCTGATCCAGTAAAATATTGTAAGTCATATTTTTCTACTTATATTCCAAGAGTCACTGTTCAGGCCAACGAGAGATTCAGTTTATCGTAAAGAAAAGATATTCCAAGAGTCATTTTTCACTCAGGCCAACGAGAGATTCAGTTTATTGAGAGAAGAAGAAGCCAGCATAATTTGAACGATTCGTGCATTTGAAGGAGATCATTAAGGACGATATACTTGCAATAATTTGTTGTAAGATTGCTGATTACTTAGGAAGCGGCCACGAGTAAATAGTATAGTCTACAAATAACAAGGATTTGGACCACTCATCATCAGAGAGAGATAGTTTTCTGCAGTTTTTCTTTCATTGATAACACAATTTTTACACTTAATTTAAAAAGGATATAAATATTTTGATTAGGAGATTTAGAATAATATTTGGATTTTGAGATTTCAACTAATATTGTTTGTACCATTAATTTTGAAGGTTCACGTACGTAGAACAAAATTTTGAGAATCATTATATGAGATTTTGTTTATTGAAAACATTTGAGTGTGAATTATTTCATTAATTTTATTTTAATATATAGTGTTATATCATAATATGTGTTTTTTATTATTCCGGTATTCTTTGGACCTTACCTTTCACATGTAATAGCATAGATATTGAAGCACGAATTTAACCCTGAGATAAGAGAATTAAAAAGTGTGATAGAGTCATAATCATATCATTTAAATAATTTTAATTAATCAATTAATTAATTAGCTAATTAATTGCTTGGCGCACCAAGACTTGAAATATCACAATAATATATATATATATATATATATATATATATATATATATATATATATATATATATATATAAATAATATGTCAAATAAAATATAAGGTAATGAATATGAAGTAAGTAAAGTAAATAATATAGAATTAGACATCTTAGATTCAAACTTGAGATCTAAAGTAGATATTATAATAGATTAACAATTCAATCTTCTTCTTACGGTGCCTTATCCTTAAGGACGTTGGCCATTACATTTGCCTATTTAATCATATTTGTAGCAGCCCTGAATAGTTCTATGGAGGTCATGTTCGTCCATTGCCGTAGGTTTTTAAGCCAGGAGTTGCGTCTTCTTCCTGGTCCTCTTTTGCTATTGACTTTGCCTTCGATTATAAGTTGGAGCAGTTCATACTTCTGATTTCTTATGATGTGAACAAAATATTGTGTTTTCCGTTCTTTTATTATAAGTATAAGCTCTCTTTCCTTATTCATCCTCCGCAAGACTTCCGCATGGCTCATGTAGCATATTCTGAGCATTTTACGGTAACACCAGAGTTCGAATGCTTGGATTCTTTTTTGTGTTGCTTCTGTCATTGTCCAGGCTTCAACACGATAGAGCAAGGTGGAGAAAACATAGCACTTAAGTATTCTAGTTCTCAATGAGATGTCCAGCTGGCGGTTGCATAGAACTTTTTGTATTTTGTAAAACATTGTACCTGCCTTTTCCAGGCGTATTCTTATCTCCAGTGAGTGGTCCCAAGTTTCATCAAGACTACTTCCAAGGTACGTTGTTCTTGTTACTCTTTCCAGATCTGTTCCGTCGACATTGACCTTCACCCTTCTGTTTTGGTGCTTGCTGATGACCATCGTTTTTGTCTTCTTTGTATTCAATTTCATTCCAAATTCTCTACAGGCTGTCGTTACTCGGTCCATTAAGCGTTGCAGGGCTTCAGCATTATCTGCCAGTATGACAGTGTCATCAGCATATCGCAGGTTATTTATACATTGCCCGTTTATAATTATACCATCCGAGGTAAACAATTCAATAAACTGTTTAATAAACTAGATAATCTAAATTGTAACAGTAAAAAAACAATATTCCTTATACAAAAAGGTTTTCGAACCATAATTTTTTCAATAGATTTATAAATTTAACAGATACTAAATTTAGTAATAGCGAGATACAACTTTTAGAGAAAGAATTTAAGCACAACTTGCCTCAACATAATAATCAAAAAACATTAGAATTTTTAGATGTAGAATGTGAAGTAGCGTTAAAAAAAAAACAGCCAACAATATCGACAGAAGTGTCATTGCAAAATTCATTACCGATGTGTGTAATGAAAGTAATCTTACAAAGGGAATCAAACAGCCATTTCAACTAAAAATAAATCAATAGAAAACAACAGAATCTGATAAAAAAACAATAGAATTTTTAAATATACAAAATATTAAAACAATAAACAAAGATCCGACGAAACAGTATTAAAAACAAATTAAACTGGCGTTAGAAAATTCAAAATCAATATTAAATTGAAAGGGACATAAATAACATTCCAGAGCACATACAGTGCGTTAAGTTTTGGATTAGGTATACACTCTATAAATGGCAACACTGCGCGTCGTCGACTTGCCACTACATATCTGCTTCGTTGACTCGTCGTTGCTCGTCGCCCGTCGGCAAATTTGTCACATTGTCATTATACCGTGGTTGTTTAAAGGTATAACAGCGTAGAGTTTTAATTTATTTTTGTAAACATGTCTGTTTATATGGCCGCGGAAAAAGCTCAAATAATAAAATGGTTTTATAGTGGCAATTCTGCGCAACAGTGTGTAGATTTATTTTCTGTGTTTTTTTGAGGGAAGACCAATTCCTTGTGTACAGTCAATTTATAATATTGTTAAAAATTTTGAGAGTTGTTATTGCCTCAAAAATTGCAGAAAATGTCACGCTCAAGAAGTGTTACCAGAAAAAGTTGAGGAAAGAGGTAGATTCAACACGTTCAAGTAGAAGCGTTGCTAGAGAGTTAGATGTTAGCAATGTTACTGTAACGAAAGTATGGAAAAAGCACGGTTACAAGAATTTTAAATATTCGAAAACGCAGCAGCTTTATCAAGACGATTACTTTCGAAGAATGGAGTTTTGTGAAACTCTAATAACGAAGGCTAATAGTGAACCAAATTTTATTAAAAACATTTTATTCACTGATGAATCTTCTGTTTCGTTAGTAGGGAGACACAATCCTTTCATTACGAGGTATTGGGCGCGGGAAAACCAGCACAGAAGTGTTGTTTACCGAACTCAACGTCCTCAAAAAGTTAACGTCTGGACTGGCATTTTAGGAGACCACATAATAGGTCCATTTTTTATTGAGGGCAACTTGAATGGTAGAGTATACCTCGATTTGTTACAGAATCATGTTCTTCCCGCTATTCTCAATCTTCCTGATGTAAATCTGGAGAATGTTTGGTTTCATCAAGACGGCTGTTCAGTTCACAACGCTCGAATTATTAGGGAGTATTTAAACAATACTTTCCTGAATCGAGTTATCAGTGGAACAGGCGATATTAAGTGGCCTGCGCGATCTCCAGATCTTACACCCATGGACTTCCTTTTTTGGGGACATTTAAAATGCATTATCTATGATCATCCTGAGGCTAGAGCCCAAAATTTGGATGAATTAAAAAATCGAATAAGAGAAGTCTTCAATTCTGTTACAGCAGAAACTCTTTCATCTGTTCGCAGAAGTTTTTATGACAGATTGGGGTACTGTTCAGCCGTAGAAGGTCAACTATTTGAACCATTTCTGTAGGTCATAAAGAATTATTTTTTATTTTATTAGGAATAATATTTTAATTTTCAATAAGAGTATATTTTTTATTTTATCTTTTTAAAGAAATACGCTTTTATTTTTAATTCAACCACAAAAAAATTTTCACATTAATAAAAATCGATAACAATGCACCGATTAGGTCAGTCAGAAGGAACTACCAGATAAAGGAATCATACTGATTACTCTCATCTTCAATGCTATTCTACGATTAAACTAGTGGCCAAAGCTCTTTAAAACCGCTGAAATATGTACTAATCCCATAAGCAGGAAAAAATCCAAACGAGGTTTCACCATATAGGCCAATAAGCCTACTACCAGTCGTATCCGAAATACTTGAAAGCTTACTGTTACAAAAAATTAACTCAGACCACAATACGGAGGAATGGATACCCAACTACCAATTTGGCTTTCGAAAAAAAAACACTCGACAATACAGCAGGTTCATAGAATAGTACCCACCATAAATTCTACAATGGAAAGCAAATACTGCACAGCTGCTTTTCTAGATGTTAGTCAAGCTTTTGGTATTGGAATTGAAGGAAAAATTGCAAGGAATATGGACTTACATTAGAATTTTGTCAGAACTTGGTAAAAACTATGCCTCGAAGAATTGTGGATGTCATTAAAAATTAAGGGAATGTAATTCAGTAGTAAGCTTTTTTTTTGTTAATATTACATATTCTATGCGTTTTTTTTTTAATTTATTATTATTATGTTTATTTTTGTTCTCTTAAGTTAATTTTCTTATCAATCTAACACTGGGCCAACTGATATGAAAAGGGGGCCCGTATATGCTTTTATGCTTGATGCACTTTTATCAATTTTTTTGGGGTCGTCTAACAAATCACAAAAGTTCAAGATAACATTTTTTCAGATTTTTGAATGAGTCATTCATTACACATTAACCTTGTTTGTCCTTCTCGGAAACTGTTATACATATTTTATGAATAGGTATTATTCATTTACCAGCATAAATACAGAAAAACATTTAACATGTAATTAACAATATTATGTAGGTTATTTTACATTAGGAGAATTGTAAAATAAAAATCTTTTCGCCAGATTCAGATTATTATTAATTTTAACAAAAATTGATACAATTTTCCTGTAAACAATGATAAGATTATGATTAACAGTTATAAATAACTTCATCCAGTCACATCACTATATTTGAATGAAAATGCTTCGATTTCTAATATCTAGAAAAGGGAGTGGTCCAATCTTTAATAATTTATTCAATTATGAAATTGTAATTTCATATATTGACATTGGTCTATAAAAGTCAATTCAGTCAACTCCTGTTTGTAAAAATAGTCATAGAACGCATAAACACGCACAAAGGAACTTTAAATTGAATAAAATAATACGGGGATTTTAGAATATGTATGTTCTAACTCTAGCACTGCAATAAAATCTGCTCAGAATTCTTGAAAGAATTGCGTCTCATTTGCGCACTATTAAGATTTAGTGGCGCCAGGTATAACATAGCATATCATGACGCATTTAATAAATTGTTGTTTCGATTGCTTGCTTAAGTTTTCTATTTTTTATATACTAAGATGTTTGGACTCTCGCGAAGTAACAGAAAAAAAGTTTTCGTTTAGTAACCGAAGAAAAAATGTTAATAGGTTCAAATCAATTACTGCTAAAAAATATAGACTTGAAGGACACCAATAGAAAGTTTTAAATCCGCTAGCTAATTGGATAGCCAAACTGTGTAGAGAGACCAAATTTGTTTTCAAATAAGTAAACATTTAATCATTAAAATTATAATAATACTTACAGTTTCTCCTCTTTCTTTACTAACCACCCTCTTGTCTGTCATATCACATTTATTGCCTAATATCATCTTCTCCACATCTTCATTAGCATGCTAAAAACAGAATTAGTAATCATTAAAAATGCTGGAAGATAATACTCTCACATGATAAAATAATTAGTCTAAAATGCAAAATAAGTAACTACTTTTACTGAAAGTACATTTCTGCGCGTAAAAAGGAACTATAAGAAGTGTGGTACAATATGGAAGATGATAAGTTATGGAACTACATATAAAACTTATATGAGGAATGAATTAAGGCTAAAGTAAAAATACTTTTGGAGCCTAGATGTAGTTCTCATTATCTCAAGTTAATATAATTTGGTCTATATTATCCCTTCCAAGCTGTTTTTTAAATGTTTTTTTAACTCATTCAGACCCTCGGGTCATAATTATGCACAGTTATGTCAGCTAACGCCATCTTCAATAAATCTTAAATACTAATGTGAAAAACTTACGTAGATCACTTATGCCTTCTGGCTTCTGTGGGACAAGAAAGAAAAAAAGTATATGGATGTAGAAAGGCCTGAGGTGGTAAAATTTAATAACCATGCGATGGGTGGTGTTGATCTATTACATCAAATGACCAGTGTGTACAGATCTTATATTGGTTTAAAAAAATGGACCCTTCAAATGATTTTTCATGTTGTAGACTTGGCTTCAGTAAATAGATAGTTTAAATATCGTCAAGAATGTGACACAATAAAAATTACAAAAAAGGACAGATTCAAACTTGTAGATTTTAAAATGAGGTTTTCTGAAAGTATGCTCAAGCCAAACAAACCAATTTCTCAAATCAAAAGAGGCAGGCCAAGTACTTCAACACCACCCATAGCACAAAAAAATTAAAATATAACCTTGAAGAAACTAGACCAATTTGTTAAGTTCAATATGACTCTGTTGAGCGGCAACTGGATGGAAACAAAGAAGGAAAAAGGTGTAAGCATGCCAACTGTAACAAAAAGACTCATTTTTTTGTGTTAAATGTAATGTACACCTTTGTATAAAAAAGAGAGAAACTGCTTTCTATAAAAAAAAATCAGGTCTGAAAGGGTTAAATAAAATAAATAATATTTGATTTATACTGAATTAAGCCACAATTGAACAACTGTGACTATATTGCATTAAACAATATATTAATTACACATTTCTTGATTTTTTCCACAAAAATGAGGTATTTTGGTATATAATGGTATACAGACTACCAAACTTTTATAACTTTTCGTCCTCTGGGAATATTCAGTGATGCTGTAATTAATAATTTTTAATAAATTATATCCCCAAAATTCACTTATATCAAAAAACAAAATATTTGAAAGTCCCTTCTACATATTACCCTTTAAAGGGTTAATAGCTTAATAAAAAACTCTCTAAAAAGAAATATTTCCAGTTTTATATTAAAACTTCTCAAGGTGATGGAATTATAATAAGCAAAGCCACCGTTGATTACATAAATATGTTCATCGCTTTATGCACTCAATAATTCCCTCAATTTTGTTTAATCTATTGTAACATTGTTGTCCTTAAATGATTTAAAATTGATGTTAAGGCGTTGAGTTATGCACTGAGTATTAAGTAAGTAAAAATAGAAATGAATGTACTACCAACAAACAGGATGTCCAGTCTTCAATAAGATAGAAGTGATAAAAAATATTAATAGTATCTATTAAAGATTTCTTTAGAGAGTATGCGTAAATAATTAATAACAGAAATAAAAATTGGTGAAAAATATAAAAGATAAAATCATTTTATTTGTCTATTCGTAATATTCATAGCCCTCGTAAATAGTTTTAAATAAATTAAGGCTATATACATAACAACAACACAATACTTTCATTATAGCGACAATATATTAGCAACATAATTGTAACAAGTTATTTAATATACCCTTTGCACTTTTATTTATATTTTGGTCCATGGTATTGTCAAGGTTATTGAATTTTATTGTATTCAAGTATCTATTAAGCTCATTTATTGAACAATCAAGAAATATGTTGCATTGTCAATAAAAAGTACACTGCTCCAAATAAATAATATTCTAAATTAAGAGATAAAAAGACTATTTCAATCTTTTTCTTTTTACCTTTTGAAAATAAATCACATTTGCAAAAAATAATCATTTTTTCGTCTAAATTACTTTTTTCTTCTTCCTAACTGATTTTAGAATAAATTGCATGTTTTATCTGAATACACCCCCCCCCTGTGCTTAGGTAATAGCTCAATCTCTTTAGGAGACATTTCACTTTTAATATTTTGATTCCCAGTTCTTAACATCTTCAAATGTTTCTAGTATAGTTTCTGAGGTCATGAAAGAGCTATCTTGAAGATTCTTGATTTAGTCTGACCGTGAATGTTCAGATTCGTCTTCACTTGAGAAATGGGTTCATTATCTGCAGGATTATATTCACTTTCCTTAAGGCATTTTTTTAGTTCCTCCTGTGTGAGAATGCATTTTTATCAATTTTTAAATCAACCAAACTGTGCAAACAAATGAATAATGATACAATCACTTCGATAGAACAGATATAACTATTGGACAAGTGGTCCAATAACTCAGTGTAAAATTTTCCTGATGCCATATATGAGCTGCTCACAACCAAGACTCCACCTGTTCTGAATAGGTTAATTTGCAGGTCTATGCAAATAAGACAAAACCACAGTGGCTATCAAAGCATTCCAAAGCAACATATCCTATGCCATCAATCAAATTCAGTTTGGTTTATCAGCTAAAAACTTAAAGTCATAGAACTTTATGATAAAGATCAAAATATTGACAAATTATGATATAAGTGAAAAAAAAAAAAATTGAAATAGTTGAAATAAACCATTTTAGAAGAACATACTGACTTGCACAATTGATACATCCCAATAAAGATTTAAAAAGAAAATAAAATAACGAAAAGTAATTGAATTAAACTATATTTCAGGGAATACATGGAGAGGTAAATCAGCCCTGAAATATAAAGTCAAAGAAATAAGGGGGGGGAGAGCATTCAACAAACTAATGAAACAAATACAGACAGACTTCGTCTAAGGCAGGAGCAAAAAGACAATTCTGTGTGCTTATAAAAAATACGCTTTTTTAAACACATTTTTCCCAACATAATTTTTTTAAGTTAGTGTTAAAAGTCAAAAAGACTTTTTCATCTTAAAAATTAGCTCAATTGTCATTGGCTCAATTTTTAATATCTTTGTAGCAAAAATTTTATAAATAAATCTATATTAAATAATTTTTCAAGAACTCAATAGCTAAAACATGTTTAAAATATTGAAAATTAACCCTATCCTGCCTTATCCCCCTACCTTTCCACTATAATGTATGAGATACAAAAGGTTACAAAATTTAGGAAAATCTTCAATCACCCTGTACATTTATATACCTATTATGTTTCAAAGCTCACAATTCAAACAATATTTAATTGAATAAATTCCAGACTAGAATTAAAAATGTAATATTTAGATCATAGGACAAATCTATTATGAAAATATATTTCCATATAAACAAATTCAAATTATGCTTGTTATAAATTTGTTTTGATGAACTGTTAACTCACAGTATCAGATTGTTTTATTAAAATTTGATAGAAGTAAAAAATGCAAACAATTATGTCAGCATTGATATAAAATATTGATAACAACTCTACTTCATCATCCACAATTATACTTTATCATAAAAATTTCCCATTTGTCAATCTCAATGTTTATCTTGAATTATGTTTATTAAGATCTTAATCTATTATCTAATTTCTGATACTCAATATCCATAATGTAGATAGGTATGCTTCATGAATTAATTTATTTGATATTTGGCTTCTACAAAAAAAAAAAGCAGAAAGAGAGACATAATGACAAAGGGCATACAATTGATATACCTAAAAATGTCATAAAAGCAGTATTATAAAATAACTTGCATGTAAAAGCAAGTAATTGACCAGATCATTAGGAAATAGCTTGCTTTTGCTAGCAAGGGAATTAAATATAAATATAATCAGTATCAGAAACCTGCCTTGATAATCAATATTACAAGCAGGATATCTAGTCAGAAATGATACTACTAGATTTTAGCATACTGAAAAAGAGGGAAACATACTGAAACAAGTAGAATGAGGCTGTTAGACAGTTGCACATGACAATCATGAACAAAACATTAAGAAAGACAAAGAAATTTATATTTAACTTTAGTGACAATGAACAAGAACAAAGGAATACAACACTAGAAATTAACCCTGGAAAAGATCCTGTGATCTAAAACTAAAACAGAGTAACAAATACAGATATTGAAAAACAACTACAAAGTAATAGGTGTGATAGAACACAAAATATATTATACTCACCTCATCTATGTTTCTTAACCATTTGACTATATTTTCAAAACTCTTCTCATTGGTAATATCATAAACTAACATAATCCCCATTGCTCCTCTGTAGTAAGAAGTCGTGATGGTGTGAAATCTTTCTTGACCAGCAGTATCCCATATCTGGAGTTTGATTTTTTTACCTCTTAATTCAACAGTTTTTATTTTGAAATCTATACCTGTTAAAAAAATTCATTATCCATGTGTACTTGAACATTAAACTTTGGATAATTAATATATTAGACCGGTTTTATAAATCATATTGTCAAAATTTATATAGTTATATAAAATTCTTAAAAAAATTAAATGAGAATCCTAAAAATAAATTACCTATTGTTGATATAAATGTAGTTGTGAATGCATCATCTGAAAATCGGAATAATATACATGTTTTTCCTACTCCAGAATCACCAATTAATAAAAGTTTAAACAATAAATCGTATGTCTTTTTTGCCATTTTTATATAAATTTTTTTTGATTGAAGCCTATCAAAAACATCAAAAATAGATACTGCCAACTTCAAAGACAAGTCACACTGACATTTGTTGGTGTAGGTCACAGAACACGAATATCATAGATTATAAACCAGGCAATTCTTGGCGAGTGAACTCTTAAATTGAAATATATTTCTACTGTTTTATTTATACGCAGTTATATTTTAGTTAGTTATTAGTTTTTGTGTAATTTAATTATTAATATTGTTAGTTAATATTATTGCACTATTTTATCAGTTACTTTAAATATCTTTAAAATAAATAAAATATTATCTGTATGTTTGGTTGCATAAGTAAAGAGTTTTAAGTAATGAATTGGTTGCAGATGTGAGTCCATTTCAAATAAGTTTGTAGAAATAAATAATAGCGTAACTCTCAATTTCACTTAGGTTAGCAGCTAACTTCCCCAGGTTAGCAGATGTTAGGGCTCTGACATCAAGTACTTATGACGGTGTTGTGATGTTATGCATTTTTATAGAGATTTTCCCACTAGTTATATCTATAAAACATTGCCATATTCTTTATCTTGGCAAGCGTTCTCTAGGTGTTAAGGGCACAGAAGATTGTGGCTGTCAGCCTCGACCAATTTCTTTACTAACGATACCGTTTAACTTACCTTTTCCGGTCAAACTGAATTACTTTATTTTATCAGTTAGCTAATTATAACTGTCAAGTTCTTAAATTAGAAATAAGTCAACGATTTAAGGACATACTCATTTATTTTTATTGAATGGGTACAGTGTACAATGATTTCTTTTTATAACATTTTTGCAGTCTATACATTTCCATTAATTAGTCTACTGTAACATTTAGACATCGAAGGACTTTTACACATTTATTCTCGATTACTGGAAAATTGGACGATTGTCGGAATAAAAATTTATTCCCTAACACACGTACACATTTACTTCGGTTTTCCATTTTTACATAACGCTTTCAGGTGATAAGATATTTTGCATTGTTAAAGATTCACTATAATAATTATTAGTTATTTAAAAATAATTTTGAATATAACATATTAATGACAAACTTGTATATGAAGATGGCTGCTTTACAAAAATAAAAAAATCTAAAGTTTTTATATCTGAAGTACTAAAAGTCTTTGTCTAATTTCTCAAAAGTTGGAACCATAGAGCAAAACAGTCGATCTTATAGTTTTTAATGCTTAAATTATCATTTGGGCATTTGATTTTGCACCTGTTTATTAACCTTTAAGTGATAGCAAGTCCCAAACGCATATACAAATAATTTTCAACAAATTCCATACTTACTCGATGAACCACTCGGGAAAGTTAACGGAAGTACGTCGCTACACATTCGTTCAACTTCGAGTCCTTTGACTCGGGTGCAAAAACCGACAAGTGAAAGTTGCCTGGAGCAAGTCAAGGTTGGATGAAATAAGACGTAGTGCCTCTTCACACTATCGTGTTAGCCTAAATTTAGTACTCTCTGTCATCGTATGTCATTATTTACTTTATTGTTTAAAATTCTGTGTATTTGAAAAATTAAAAGATGGATATTGACGAAAAGTTTAATTTAACTCCACCAGAAGTGGCAGAAACTGCAAATAAAATATCTTTTTCCGCAAATCGCCAGGAAATTTTGACATTTCTGTCAAAATTTCTTGAAGAAAAAGTCAGGACTTCCTTACTGTAAGCAAATGTCATTTCCTTACTCTAAGGAAATGATATTTCCGTACAGTTGTTAGTGTTCTACATAAATGATAGAAAACACATTGCTTATAAGGAATTAATTTATATTTTGAAAACATCAAGTCATTGCTGAATACATTTTTAAGATCAATTTGTTATATTTACAGTAATTTGACAGTTAGTACAATTATTGAACATTGGAGGAACACTCTTAGAACTATGAGAAACATTTTGGACAACATACAGGGTGGAAGTGTCATTTTGTTGAATATTTTGTACTGTGAAAATTTTATTTGCCACCTCAACCTTATTGTTAAGCGATTCTTCGATATATCCTTCAGCAACGTTTGATGACTTCCATCCGCCATGCCTCTTTAAACTAGTTATGTCGGCACCAGAGTCAACCAATATTGTTGCAGAAGACCGACGAAAGCAGTGACCAGCGTATTCTGTCGGATTTACCAAGTTCAAATAAGTAGCAATTATTTTGGGCATTTTTCTAAATTGATGAATTCCTACCACTTGTCTACAACCCTTTCCGCTTTGATATTTAAAGAAAAATCGGTCACTGTTCATATTTTCTGATCTTAACGAAACATACTTTCGATAAACATTCAAGTAGATCTGATTAATTACAAATGATCTTGGTTTGTTGGTTTTCGAATCAGGTATGCTGATTAAAAGCTTAGATTCTAAGTCTTCTATATCGTGTACAGTCATTCGGACTAACTCATCCATTCTACAGGCCCCAGAAATACCAAATATTACAGCCACCTAAAAAATAAATAAAGCTATAATCTAAATAGGAATTAAAACCTTGTAAATTAGCTTAATCATTAAATTTTCTTTATCTGGAGCTTCCTGGATAAATTTTTCAATTTCTTCCTTCGTTAAAATCTTAGATTTCTTTGCCCTATAACCTTGAGCTTGCCGTTTCAATAAAGAACGAAGTTTTGAGTATGTAGATATATCTACATTGTGTTTAAGTGCAAGGGTTGACTTCAGCATTGAATAATTGGCCCATAATGTTGAAGATTTCATCTTTAAACAAAGGTCTAGGAAGTATGCCATTACAACATTTTCTGAGAAAGAACTCGTATTTTTACTCATGCGATAATCCATAAAACGTCTGTATGCATTTTCGTACTTTTCTCTTGATTTCTTTGGCAATAATTCTAATGAAGCAGTATTCACTGCCTCAACCAGCTCTGGAGGAGTCCCAGGAATGGAAATTTCATCATCACTTATCATTTTATTTTCGAGAACACCAGCAATTAAATTTATAAGCGTCAAGTTTGACAATTCAACCTCAATACGTTTCCATAGTAACCCAAGTAATTTTATTAGGAATTTCAAAGCACCATTTATTTGGGAATAAAATTATCGCGTTTTTTTTTTAAATCAATCAATATCTGTCGAATTTTAAACGATTTGCGGAAAAATAGTATGTTTACCTCGTAGGAAAAGCCACATTCCTGGACTCTGTGTTGCTAAGTCACGGCTTGCGCCTCGACTTAGCAATCTTCACAGTCGTCCAGGAATGTTAAGCTTTTCCTACCCGGTAAACAATCTACTATTAGTTTACTGCCTGAAAAAAGCAGAATGTACGAAAAAAACATACGCTAAATTTATTGCATGGAGTGACGAGAAAAAAATAAAAATAAAATTTATACTAAGATATATTTATTTCTGAAAAGTACGGTCGACGGAAAAGTTTTGTAACGAACTCTGCTGTTTTCAGGCAGTAAGCTTAAAGATATTTCATTTGCAGTTTCTGCCACTTCTGGTGGAGTTAAATTAAACTCTTCGTCAATATCCATCTTTTGATTTTTTAAATACACAGAATTTTAAACAATAAATTAAATAATGACATACAATGACAGATAGTACTAAGACAGATTTTTAGTGGGAATATAAATAGGTACATGTTTGGTTGTCTACACCACAGGTCACTGCCAATCACAGAGTGTTTAATTAATTTATGCAAGCAATGTATGTTGTGTTGCCTATAATGAAATCGTTCATTAATAGGAAATCATTCATTAATAGGGGTCATTAATCAATGATTTTGAGGCTGTTAAAATTGATCATAAATGGATGGTCGACGGAAAAAATACAAAAATAGACGTTCTACGGAATTCAAAATTAAATAAGATTAAATTTTACTTAATTTTAAAACATATTATAAAGCTATAAACTTATGCAAAAACGATACCATTTTTTTTGTGTTAATAGATATTTCTTAACACAAAAATAATAAATTGGTTTCACAATAACTTCATTAATTATTAAGTAAAATCTACAAACAATATTTTGTTTTTTTTTGTAACAAATTGTTTCTTATCACCTAAAATTAATTTATTATTTTAAAATTTAAAACAACTACAGCACCTACTCGTCAAAGTCAAACTAAAGCAGTATGATGTTTTTCTACAATCTAGTCAGCAATAGTGTATGTAAACTAGAATAGTATATCTACTAGTACTGTCCTTTTAAAAGGCAATCGATCTATTTCCCTTAAATTGATAACTTAAACTTACCGTTGATAGATAACGCCTGCGAGGTTTACTGTCAAACATATCGATCAAGATATTTCATCAGTTCAGTAGCGCACCTAGAATTTTCCTCGGGGGGGGGGGGGGTTTGGTTGGGCACCGAAATTTTTTATGCTACCTCCACCATTTTAAGTCCTTAATCGGTACGCCACTGCATCAGTTGCTTGCTTTAAAAGTTTGTTTACGTACCGGTATAGCATTGTTTTGTTTTGTTTTTTAAGTTTACGTTAAGTTTTTTTTAATTACAAATTAAATGTGGGCGTTTTATATGATTTGCTTTTTATTACTTTCTTGTGTAGGTACGGCCATTTTTGTTGTTTTCTTTTAAAAGGACAGTATTTTTTTAGAAAACCGTTAAAATTGCATGAGTTAATTGCAGAACTTGAGACAGATCAGATTCCAACGCCTCCTGATGGTATAATTATTTTTCCTCCAGACAATGCAAATGATAATATAACAGACTGCGATTTAGGAGACGAGGATGTCACAACGATAGACCATTTACCAGGAAGCCAGTTGAGAAATGACGTGGAGGTTATTTTCGACAATCAAGATCAGAGTGCAGAAGAGTCGGATTTCGACGACGACGACGTACCTCTGGTCATACTATGCAAAGAAGAAATAAAACCTTAGATTCTCGAAAAACTAGGATCTGCACAATGGCTTATAGGTGATCTGTACCAGCATCCTAAATATGTTTACTGGAGACCAGAAATTGGACCTAAACAAAATCGCACGCCATTACAGCTCTACAGGTTATTTTTTGACGACAACCTATT